TCCCTCCTCCAGCAGGACATATGGTGGATTCGAACGGCATACCTCTAGGATTGCAGTACTCAAAACTCTTATTTTTTTTAATTTTTTAAAAATAATTTTAATGAGCATTTACAGAAATTTTGGATTTCCATTCATTCATTGCTACACTTCTCTCCCCGCCCCCAGGCCTTCCCCGACAAAACTCTATTTTCAAAAGGGATATCCATAGGTATAAGAGTTAGAATTCCAACATAATATATATTTTTTTCCAGGTGACACAATTCAATCCATAGCAGCGTGCTGTATCTTTTTGGAAAAAGGTATAGAAATAAAAGAATATTTGACACTATCTCCACAAAGGCAAAATCTAAGGGTAGAAGAGATGGTTAGTGCTTTGTCATCAAATATTCTCAGTCTCAACTAAAGTTAGATAATAAGATCATGTGACTAGTTTTGGCCAATAGATCTTGAACAAGTGCTTTTTTATTTCTACCTTCTCCTGTTGGAACGGTGTCTCTCTGGACACTAAGGTGCACCTGATACAGGCCATGGTCTTTGCAATCACTTGTTATGCATCAGAAAGTTGGACAATGGCTAGTAAAGACAGAAGGAGAATTGACGCCTTTGAGTTGTGGTGGTGGACAAGAGTATTGAATGTTCCATGGACTGCCAAGAAAACAAACATATCCATCCTCGACAGGGTTAAACCAGGCTACTCCTTGGAGGCAAGGATTCTGGGGCTTTGTCTGACATACTTTGGACATGTTAGAGGCAGTGCGATTGGCACAGGATAGGACAGGGTTTAGGGCTGCTGTACATAGGGTTGCTATGAGTCGCAAACGACTCGACGGCACATAACAACAACAACTCCTGATGCAGTGACTTTCTAGAAGCTTTGAGCTCCAAAATGACATAGAGGGTTGACTAACCGGCATAGACTTTTGCATAAAGGAAAAATAACGCTTTATTGCCCTAAAGTGGAGTTGCTGCAATATCTAGAATTTTTTATCTTGATGTGGAAATTAGTATTTCAAGTAAAAATTCTATAAGATAGAGTACTGGCATGGTAGTGTATCAACGAGAAAAAAATGTTTCAAAGAACTCTGTCTAGCTGAAAATTTTCCTGCAGATTTTCTTCAGTTTTTTTCCTAGCAGTTTTATCGCTTCATGCTTTACATACAAGTTTTTTTTTTTAAATGATTAGAACAGTTGCAAAAGCACTGGAAATACATAAGTAATAGGAAGAGTTAATTTTTGTGTACGGTGTGAGATCTAGCTGGAGATTGTCTTTTGTTTAATGATGCCTGCTAACTGCTGCATCATATATTAAAAAGACTGTGCTTACTCCACGGAATTGTTTTTGCACCTCTGTTAAAACTCAGAGTAAAAACAGAAAAGTTTCTTACATCAAAAGATATCAAGAAAGTGAAAAGACAACCCAAAAAACAAGGGAAAATAATCATCATAAATCATACAGTGGATAAGAGTCTAGTAATTAGACTATATTTAAAAACATCTATGATTCAAATTAAAGACAAATAACCTAAAGAAAATGATCACAGGATCTAAAAAGATATTTATTTCAGGAAGATATACAAATGGCTAATATTGTTATGTGCTGTCAAGTTGTTTGCGACTCATAGAGACCCTATGTACAACAGCCCTAAACCCTGCCCTATCCTGTGACAATCGCAGTGCCTCTGACACACCCATCCTGATTATCCCAGTCACTGAATCAATCCATCTC